TACGTCTGAAAGCAGAAGTCCAGGGCAAATAATTGCAAGTCTCTTCAGTGCGCATGTCACAAAACGAGATGCATTGCGGGACATGTAGTTTATGGGCAACGTGCTTCTGTAAAGTGGCATGTAACCGAATAATACAAATATTATAATCTTTGCAAGCTCTTGCGGGCAACATAAAATGAAGTCGTGGGCCGGATTTGACCCCCGGGCCTTGACTTTGACACCCCTGGTTTACTGTGATTCATGTCTTTCAGAGACCGCTTCAACACCGTCGTCAATGTTTTGGGAGACTGCGTTGGCTTGGCGATGATTCACCACCTGTCTAAAAAGGAACTGGCAGTTATGGACCACGCGCTTGAGGAGAGGTGATCATTTTACATGCTGTGTTTTTGCCATTCCCGTTTTTGTCACAAATGTGTTTTTTATTCGGGAGTATTTAAAAAAAGCATTTTGTCTTTACATGATGGAGCTTTCCCAACACTACTCTTTTTATGTAAAGCTGTACTAAGTACTGTAAAAGATACAATCAAAATAATAAAAACAACATTTTAACTTAAATGTCCTTATTCCCACATAATATACGGAAATAACAATAGGTGTGAAAATCAAATATAATAACAGAATCTCACAAGAATAATACAATTAAAAGGTTAAAAAAAAGATAAGAGAAAAAACCACAGAGCTTTGAAAAAGGTATACAATGCAAGTATCTATTAAAAAAAGGACAACATGAAACACTGAGTAGCTGGCCCTTGATCTCGGCTCTGGATATTTCAGATTGAATGTTCAAACAAGGTCAGTCCTTCAATAAATAAATACGTGAATAAACACCGTACAACTGTACTCTGTGCAACTCTGAAGTTTGTTTGTATCACTAATGGCTGTGTTGTGTTTAATCTGAACAGGGCGGCTGAAGCGCCTGCAGAGGATCACCTGAGCTCCATGGAGTCCCAGTACGCCATGTCGGAAATATAAGAGTTCAGCAGCAGGAACAGGGATGATCCAATGATAACAAGTTGTGATATCTCTCTGAAATGTTGTTTGTGTTTTTTTATTTGGTGAAGCATATTTTGTATTTTGAGGAAGTATTAGTCGTCGTAGTTAATTTTTGTCAAAGTAATGTCTTTAATAGCTCTTCAATTTAGTAGAATGTAATAGATGTAGTTTTTTTTTATTGAATTCATGTTATATGAAGATATTGGTCTGATTTGATCTAATAGGTGTAGTGAATTTTTATTTAATAAAAGTTATAATACTAATACATCCTTAACTACCAATGTGGTATTAGATGTAGGCTAATAGTATTTTTTTATTGAACTTATGTAACATGTAAGTGATTTTATATGGATTCAGCATGTTGTTAATTTAATTGATATAATATATGTGAATAAAATGAACTTTAAACTAATTGGAAGTATATGTATGGATTTAATTGTACATGAATATGCAAATAAACAATTTTAAATATATATATATTTTTATATATAATATATATCAAATGAACTGGTAACATTCCTGTTAATGTAAGAAAGCGTTGCTGTGTATTTATGTTTTACTTTTTAATCAGAAGGTATCTCCATTTTATAAGCTTGAGGCTTCCTGATCTTTCCTTTCAAATGTCCTATTCTTTTTGATTATCTGGATGTCATACAGTCTAATATATGCGCGAAATAAATACATAAATGTATAAATCAATAAATAAATACATTGCTGATTAAAACCCCTCTCCAAAAAGAGTTGCTCCATCCATGTAGTTATATCCCCGCCTCCCTCTATTTAAACGCCCCTGTGATTGGTCAACAAACCGTCTAAATAATTCTACCCACCAATGGCCGACAAGACTCGTGAACGTCATCACTAGATGCCGGAAGAAATGTCACATGTGTCAACCAACCTCTAAAGCACTGCTGAATTTGCATCCATCTAGTTGCTTTTAGGTAAATAATGTTTTAAGAAAAGCGTGAGGAAATGTATAAACGAGCAATAAGTAATTAATCGGTGTTGTTTTTTGTAATGACCGTGGCGTATTTATAATGAATACGGTCAATTTGAAGCTCAGGGCCTTTACACTTGTGCTTATTAAAGGCAAAGCTCTGTCTGCGGCTGTCACTCGCTGTGAGTTTACTCTCCACCGGACTTTCTTCCAGTTATTCCGCACAATGGCTACGAATTATAGTAACACCCCGGAGACGAGGCAGCTGATGGGACCGAAGAAAGCCAAGCATAAGGAGCCTCTGCGCCGGGTGAAGACCAAAGAGAGCCGGGGCAAACGGGGGGACGCTCACGGACCGGCCACCGTGTACCTGCAGGTGGTCGGGGCTGGGAGCAGAGACAACGCTGCCTCCCTGTATGTGTTCTCCGATTACAACAGGTACTGTACACACTAACATGTCAGCAGTTAGCCATGCTGTTATTTTGAAACCAGGGCTGTGTAAGCATCCTAAAACACATCTGTAATTACCAGAGGTACAAAGTGGTCAGAGGTGGGAGAAGTACTAGAGTAGAAATACCAGAGTGTAGAAATACTCTGTTACAAGTTAAAGTCCTGCATTCACCATGTTACTAAAATAAAAGTACAAAAGTATTAGCATCAAAATATACTTAAAGTATCGAAAGTAAAAGTACTCATTATGCAGATTGGTCCATTACAGAATAATATGATATGGTTTGAGTATAATCATTGACCATTAAAGTGTTCTCAAAGCTGTTAAAGGGGCAGCTAGTTTTAATGACTTTGTATACTGCAAGGCAGCTTGTGAATTTACTCCAGGTGGAACTAAAGTCTGATTTAAGACTTGATTATATTTGACATCATTAATCCAAATCTGCAAAGTAACTAAAGGTAATAAATAATGGAGTAAAAGTACACAATGTACCTCTGAATTGTAGTGGGGTAGAAGTATAAAGGAGCAAAAGATTGAAATATACTCAAGTAAAGTACAAGTACCTCAGAATTGTACCTAAGTAAATCTACTTGGTTACTTTACACCACTGTAATGATCTGAGGTACAAAGTGGTAAAAGGTATATTAAGGTGCTGACATTAAACACACAAATTGGCAACAGTATTGAAACATTAGTAATATTTGTAAGCAGCAGAAATTCTTCAGCAATAGAAGATTGTATGTAAATGTATGAATGCACCTTGTCTGTCAAAACAAAATAATACAAAAAGTTGTTGTACCTAAAAAGCTTTGGATTATTTGAAGCTAATGCACCTGCAGCATTCTTGTTGTTCTGAATTCTTAATCTAAAAGTGAGTGAACGTATAGTATCTTCGGATAAAAGATTTAGTAAAAAAAAATGTAACATAATGATGTATAGGACCAAATCATGCAAAATGATATTACATTACATATCAATTAATTGACGCTTTTTTTCAAAGCGACTTACAATAAGTCAAAAAACCATGAAGAATCAAACTCCGAACAACAAGGAAAGTGAAGATATATTCACTTCTAGCAAGATCATATCATATGAATTGCTGGTGAATGAGTTACAAGACCTTTTTTTTCAGAAATAATTCAATTGCTAAGGTACAGTCGAAATAGATGTGTTTCAGTTAGCGACGGAATATATGCAGAGTTTCTGCTGTCCTGATGTCAATGGGGAGCTCATTCCACCATTTAGGAGCCAGGATAGCAAACAGGCATGATTTTGAGGGGTACCTGGGTCCCACTCGCAGTGACGGAGTAGCAAGCCGACTGGCTGACGGCAAGCATAGTGCATGTGCTGGAGTACATGGTTTAACCAAGGCCTGGAAGAAGCTGTTCCGTTCACAGCGCTGTAGGTCAGCACCTATGTCTTTAAGCGGATTCTTGCATCCACTGGCAGCCAGTGGCGGGAGCAAAGCAGTGATCTAGTGTAGTTTAGAGTGCTTTTCATGTAAAAAAAAAAAAAAAAAAGTGCAGATAAATATAGATATATCCATACACCGATTCCCTGATGGAATACTACTCTGATAGATAACCTTGATAACAGCAATCAATTAATCTTAGAAGCTCTGCCAGAGTGATATAAAGATGCATAGCACGTGCAAACTGATGGAGTGCCCCCCCCCACCCTCTCTCTCTACTGCAGATACCTGTTCAACTGTGGAGAAGGAACACAGAGACTGATGCAGGAACACAAGTAAGTAACACATTTTATACTGTCCATAGGTTAAACAGATGTTGTTTATCTAAGTAAGTCTGATGGGTGAGGTCAAACATAGTAAATAGTGTTGTGTTTTCCTCTGACAGACTGAAAGCTGCTCGACTGGACAACATCTTCCTCACCAGAATGAGCTGGGAGAATGTGGGGGGGTTATCAGGTCAGTACCAGCCCTCAGCCTTACAGAGCTTTAGAGTGACTTTTTTTTTTTCATCCATCTTGCATGTTACTTTACTCTGCCATACTATATCACCAAACATTCATAATGAGTTTGTACTGCTTGATGTGTGGATAAGCAACTTGAAGAGCAACACACAGTTGCAAAAGTTTGACCTTTTTAAAGTAATATTCTTTAAAAAAGTATTTTTGCGGTTTCAATTAATGCAAGCAAATTAATACTTCTAAATTGAATGCTTATTTTAATCACTTTAATCTTACATTTTAATTTATTCAGATATTATGTCTTGCATGTCCACTATAAAATTGAAAAAATAATTTATTGAGTCATCGTGTGGTCTATTAAATGTGTCAGAAAATATTGAAAAGTGTGCATCCCAGTTGCAACACATTATGGAACCGAGGAAAGCAGGGACATTAAATATTGAAAAAAGCGTGTTATATTTGCAGCGATTTAAACTTTGAACCCTTTATCAAAAACAGTTATTGTTTACAGTTGCACCTCTATAGTTTAAAGGATTTCCTATTCCTGTTTTGAGTGATGAAGACACATCAGAGACTGAACATTTTTAATTAAATGTGTTCCTTTCCGCTGCAGGGATGATATTGACTCTAAAGGACACAGGTGTGCCAGAGTGTGTTCTCTCTGGACCTCCACAGCTGGTGAGAAATTCAACCCTGCAGTATGTAGGGCTGAGAAATATGAATAAATCATATATCAAAAAATGTATGACCAAATATCTTAATATCCAAATTGTAACCATACTAATTCACACATTTTGATGAATAATCATGCATCTTCTTTGCTGCCTTTTTTCATCACAGGAGAACTATGTGAAAGCCATAAAGTCGTTTTCTGGACCACTGGAGGACATCAAGCTGTGTATGTTACATTTACAAACTTATTAGCGTTATTTATTATCATGTGAGTCCTGTTTGATGTTAACGGTATCATACACTCCTAGCTGTGCGACCGTACACCGAAGAGATGTTCACGGATGAAACGATGACAGTTTATCAAGTGCCAATATTTGGTGAGTCCTTCCCCATCCTTTTGATGTTCACTTACACTTCCTCTTAAGTGCTTTTGGGTTTGCAGCTAACCCGTTCCCGTCTTCACTCTGCAGCGCAGTTGAAGGGTGACGACAGATCGCTCTCCCCCAAATCGGGTGGGAGCAGCCCGTCCCGCAGCCCTCCCTCCCCCAGGAGAGACGACTCCTACAGCAACAGCCGTGGAAACAGTCCAGGTGAGGCCAGGAGACTAAAGCGCTAACATTAGCATGCTAAAGTATGGATGTTTTGCAGGTATATTGTTTAACGTTTACGTTAGCCTATTAGCAGTGAACACAAATACAGCTGAGGCTGATACCTAAGAAGGTTTTGGTTCTTAAATTGATGTACTGGACAGCATTTTACCCAATAATTGTACTACATAAGAGTCAGAGGATGGCCAGAGTTATTACGCATCATCTTGAGGGAAGCATTGATGTGAGTTTCACATTTTCTAGTTGCTAGCATGACTTGAAAAGTCCAACTGCCGATTCTAAATATGCCCACGTTTACGATTTTATTTGGTCTGATATCAGGCTAGTAAAGGGCTGCAACCAACAATTATTACATTATTGTCTTATTGTACTACTTCTAAACAACTTGACATTTAAAATAAACGTTAGCCTCTGCACTTTGCTTTGTTGTTTTGTTAATCAATGTTTCAAATGCTGGAAATGAGGCATCGTCATTTCCTGTAATTCATGATGTGAGCTATACAAGGTCCTATCATAGAAGACATGAGTCATAACATAAAGCCCACCAATGGATAACGAAAACTCATTGTCAACATCTTTGATAACCGATGAGTTGATGTTGTAGCCCTAGTATAATAGGAAGTCTCAAATCATTAATTGGATGACGCTGTTGTCCCACAATGCAATGCAGGGTGGGAATAAATAAGCTGAATTCAGCTGGAATGAACTGATATTTCAGTGATATCAGTGATGTGTGACTTTTGTTTCTTCTAATGTCTTGTAGGTGAAAGACGAAAAGCCACTAGAGACACGTCTTTGGTTGTTTCCTACGTCTGCAAGGTAGGAAACTTCAGAAATGATCCTGTGTGAAGTTCACAGCAGGGAACGTTGTATCTGACATTCTCCTTTCCATCCACAGCTTCACCCAAAGAAAGGAAACTTCTTAGTCGCTCAAGCAAGGGAGCTGGGTTTGCCTGTGTGAGTGGACTTTAAAAAAAATACAAAGTCAACAGAACAGATGATTGATCTGTTAATAAGGGTACTATGCAGACATATGGGTGCATTTTCACAGATTTTATTGATTTCAATATTAACAAAAGCTATAAATACAAAAAGCTTGAACTCAGTGGATAACAATCAGATCTTACTTCATTCAAACACTAATATTAATAATAATAACAACAACACATTTGTTAACAGCTATTTAGAAGTTAATCACGACGCACTTATTTTTGTTTTATGGTTTTGAAATTGTCAAACTGAACAATACTTAATATTATTATTATTTACCATAGCACTTTTTGCCACAATTTTTGATTAATCCATTCATGTGACTACAAATTATAAATGTTGTATTCATCTGCCAACTTTTTTTTACATTAATCAATTAACTGTTTGATGCATGAAATGTCAGAAATTGTCCAGTTACCTATTCAAAACCCTCAAATATTTAATTTCTGATCTTGTAAAACAGAAACAAAGTTATATAATTTAAAATCCTGTACAATAATTCTGTATTTCACAAAGTTTTTAAATAACTATAATGAAACTTTTTTTCCCCACAGTGGCACATCAGTGATTGGTCCTCTCATAGCGTCTTTGAAGTGCGGAAAAAGCGTCATGTACGAAGGCAAAGAGGTGCTGTACACAGATGCTCTGTCTGATATGAAATACAATGTTTTATCCCGTATCTATAAACTATTTCGGGTCACTTATTCCTCTCTGTTGTCTTTAGATCCGGCCGGAGCAGGTCTGCACTCCTGCTGACCCGGGACCGACCTTTATTATCGCAGAGTGTCCGTCTGAGGACTTCATCGAGGCGGTTTGCTCCAATCAGCAGCTGAAAAGGTTATAATCAGTCATATTTATTTTGAAAACTCAGTAATGCTCGTTTCTTTATGTGAAATAAAAGTATTTCAATGTTGTCTCTAGATACCAGACAGGAGGGACAGAGGACTCTGTAGTGATGGTCGTCCACATGACTCCAGAATGTGTTTTGAAAACAGATCAATACAGGAAGTGGATGGAGAGGTTTGTGATGCCGCACTATAAAGCCAGACTCCTGAGCTGTTGTGCTTTTTTTTAACATTCAGTTAAGGCGAGATAATAAAAACCCATTATGGTGCACTTTTACATTTTGACAGTTTCTGCTTCCATTACATGTTTTAATTTCAGACTAGTTGAATATCTAAACTATGTGTTTGTAGATTTCTACTAAATTCATTAAACGTTTGCATAATTAGCATACTAAACTCATATTATTGTATTACAGGTTATGAACTGGGGACATTTCTTGAAGATATATAACTCCATTTACCTTTTAGGGTCTTGCAAATTGTAGGAATTTCACAAAACATATCTTTGAAGGCAGTCTAAACTCTTAATATTTTAACTCTAATATGTCAGCAAATGTAACTAGAATGTTGAACCTGACTTTATCCAATCTTCACATTTCTGTTTGAGCTTGATTTAAGTATTTAAAATAACATTTTAAAAATATTGTTGTACAAAGAAAAGTGTCTGAATGTAAGTCATTAATTGGGGAAATTCATGGAGATATCTATTAGTTAAAAAACCCCATTCACCTGAAGCCCCCCCCCACCTTTAACAGTTTCCTGTGTTTCTGCAGATTCCCCTCCACCACTGAACATCTGATCCTTAATGAACACAATTGCACGGTCCACAACGTTAGAAGTCACAAAATCCAAGCCCAGCTGAACATGATCCACCCGGAGATCTTTCCAGAGCTCAAGACTTTTAAAACAAAGGTAACACAAAACAATACGCATTGTTTTATTATGCAGAAATTAGTGGGCATTCATCAAGATTCACTGATTCCAGCTTCTCTAATATTTGCATGAACTTATTTTCTGTGTTTTATACCTTTTTTATAGACTAAATTCGACAAAAAAATAAGAATATACAAACATAAAGGATAAAAAATATATATTTGTAAATGTCTCCATGGAGTCTAATAACGGGGGTACTACTCTCATCAATGATACGCGAGCGTTCACACACTGAAGTTGTATAAACGTAGCCGGCCAATAAAGGCGAGCCTACCTGAATGCACGTGCAGGCACACAGTATATAAGGCGGCCACGCCTCCTGACTGTCATCCTACACCCTCTTCAGCGAGCGGCATAGGAAAGACAGGGCCCCTAGGTAGAGTGCTCCGCCTGTGCTCATATAACTAGGGTTACAATACTTAACCCCCCGTTATATCTTACACAGGCTCCGCCCTCTACTGGACTCTATGGGTACAGTGGGTGGAGCCCTGATGGATAAACGCCCTGTCGTCCAACAACATTGACCCATCACACTGCCCCAGATCGGCTTTTGGTTAACAGCCACTCCACCGCTCCTTCATCACACATGTTGCCACTTGTTTTTACCATTTTCTAGGCGATTTGTAATCTGTTCTAGAAAAACGATGTGTTTTTGGATATTTGTGGAGTAAGGCGCCAAATAATCGCTCTGATCCGGTAAGGTGGGGGTCGATCTTGCGGAAGAGCAATGAGCGTCTCGCCCACACACCCGTGTTTATTTGCAGCCGCACCTGTCACGCGGCAGA